GATTGCACTTAGATCACGGCTTGGGGGCAACAAAAATCAAGACTTGAGGAAGGAAAGACTTTTAGGCAGCTGTAGTCCTAGTCAGTCAATGGTCCTGGTTAGGGAGAGTGGGAGAATTGAGCATACAGAACAATAATTGGCAGGCAATTGCTTATGTTTCTCATAGAAGAGACTCAGGAATATCTGTGTGTTTTCCAGATTACCTCTCAATTTACAAATGATTCAAAATCCCAACAAAATGTTGTGTTATGTTTTTGTAAACACATTGATTACAGCAACAGGGGATGGAAGATACACTGATCAGAAAGCAGTTTTAACTGACTCTAAAACAACTATGGTGCAGGTTTTCTTTTGTTCCAGTGTTGTAGAATCTATTCCTTCCCCAATATAAAAAGAATAGTCTTTGCATTTGATATAGCGCCTTACCACGTCTTCGAGATGTTTCAAAGCACTTCGCAGAATATTCTGTAAAGTGAATTGATGTATGTATTTATAATACATTACATAAGACTGTAGCTTGTGGAGTCCTGTAGCTCAATGAATCAGAGCCTGGTTGTGAGAAACAGGCAGCATCATGCTCACTGAGTAAGATATACATAGTTTTACATTAATCATTAGGCAGTAATATACTTAAGTTAAAGGATGTGACAATATCAAAGATCGTAGGTAGGCCACACACAAGGATTCTCATAGTTTGACAGAACATTGGTAGCAAGCATTAAATTCTTCAACGTGTAGAGCATGTGGAGATCTTCCCTTCTTACTGAATGTCTGAATCTTCGGTGGAAATCTTGTGAACCTTTGAGTCATTGAAGGAGCACTACAGTGTAGCTCTTGTATCCTCTTTTTATATTCCAGTTGTTCACTCCATTATCAGCGACTGTTTATCCTTCATCTCGCCAGGAGATTTGGAGAATCTTTTTATCACTTTCTCACAACTTTAACCACTCTACTTTCTCATAGCATTTTTAAAAATCACATTTCCATAAACTACTTTGTTCAGCTCTACTTTCTCATGGATTACACTTCTAACCCATTTTGGTCAAAAACAAAAATGCAACTAATGGACATACAATTTAAACAGACCTTGCCTTGTTACATTCTGTACCAACAGCTCTATTTTGCCGTAAAAACAGTTTATATTTCACAATAGTTTGTACAATCTGACTATGTATACTTAAAGCAATTACCATGCTAATAGGAAAACAACAGTCATATGGGATCACAGCATATACAATTAAGAAAAATCTTTTTACAAGCATTTTTTTGTAGCTTCCTGTTCCAGTTCGTCGCACTTTCACCTCTGAGTCAGAAGGTTGTGGGTTCAGCCTCCACATTAGAACTTTAGCACTATATGAAAAGAGAAGTGATTCATTGATCTTATTCAAACCTTGTCATTTTGATATATTACCCCGTAAGGACTCTTCTGCAAAGTCCAGGAGTCACTCATTTCAAGTCAGCGGATGCAATCCAGATATACTCCATTATCATTGAGACAGAAATTCCAATACGATATTTCTTCAGCTGATACTATTCTGGATTTCAATATTGTCCATGCTTATGCTGGCCATTAGTTAGCAAAAGAATGCAATAGCATCTTCTACAACAAAGTTATTTCACCTTGCATTGCTTACCAGAAATAAATGAACCCTGGTAATCACAGATAGTCCGCTCAAGTAGGAGCCATTGAACTATCTTGCTTAAAACCCAGCATATTGAGACGCACAGAAATATAAGTCTTTATAAGTGGGTGGGCAAACGTGTGGGGGCTGGGTGGGGCGGTATCCGCCGAGCGGAGGGAGTGGACAGGCTATTGAGGTTGGAGAGGTAGGGGGGAGCAAGTCTGTGGAGAGCCTTGAAGGTGAGAACAAGGGTTTTGTACTCAATTCTCTGAAACTGGGCAAGAACGGGGTTGATAGGTTCCCAGAGCATGGTGGGGGAGAGGACACGTGCTGCAGCGTTCTGAATAATCTGCAGCTTGTGGAGGGAAGAGTGGGGAAGTCCAGTGAGCAGGCAGTTGGCGAAGTCAAGCCGGGACGTAATGAAAGAGTGGATGAGGGTCTCGGGGGCCTGCGGTGAGAGACAATGGCGGAGGCGGGCAATGTTGCGGAGGTGTGGAAAGGTGGAACGGATCACGGCACAAATGTGGGGTTTGAAGGATAGCTGATGGTTGAAAAGGACATGGAGGTTTCGGGTTGGCTCGGTGAGGTGAAAAGTGCAGCCATGAATGGTGATAGCGTCAGCGGCTGAGGTGAGGAGGTGCTGCTGGGAGCTAGAGGGCCTCTGTCTTGCAAACATTAAGCTGGAGGAAATATATTACACATGTAACTTCCATGTTGCTTCAGATAGAGTAAAATAGACACATTGGGATGTGGATAAATCATTGTGGTGCATTAACTTTTCCATCATAATAATTCATTGTAAATTTTACACCCACAATGCTTTAAAATATCATGATTGGTATATTAGTCCAAATGACTACAACTCTTTAATTAGAACATTTTACTTGATATTTGTTTTTAATTTACTTTTTATTAATTGCCATTTCTAGGTGTTCCTAGTGTCTTGGCTTTCTTTTGTGATTTAATACACCTAAACAACTAATTTTTGTATATAGTTTAATCATCTTTTGTTTAGACTGTAAAGCTTCTGGCCAATAATCCTCCAAATAAGATGGTCATTCAATTCACCACTCCCTCTACCCTTCCCCTGCTCCCTCTCGGCTCCATAAGGTTCCTATGCCAAGTACTTTGAGATAACCTTCTGATGTGAAAGGTGCTTCATAAAAAATGGTTATTTCCTTCATTTACTGTGTGCAAATTGTTTGATGAGTTTGCCTACAAATACACAGTCAATATATTTAACAGAAAACTATGTGAAGCCCTTCGAGATAATCCTGATTGATAAGGTGCTCTATGAAATGCAAGAATTATTATTTTCTTTAGTTAGGGGATCTCTAATTTCCACCTGAAAACAGAATCTTAGTTTCACCTGTGTCAGTACACCTGATCTGTTCCACCTTTCCACCCTGCACAACATTGCCCCCTCCACCACTTCCTCTCACCGCAGGCCGAGACTCTGATCCACGCTTTCATTACGTCCCAGCTTGACTACGCCAAGTGCCTGCTCACTGGACTTCCTAACTCTTCCCTCCACAAGCTGCAGATTATTCATAATACTCTGGTATACGATATACTAGACCAAAGTGTTAGTCTTTCTAGAGTAGTAAATAAGCTCAAGGTCCGATGTGGGGCTTGAACCCATTATCTACTAACCTAAAAGTGAGAGTGTTACTGAGTCCAACTGGTGCGGTTATGAACCAACACTGCACTGGAGAATAAAGAATGTGAATATTTACAGAGCAACAACAATTAGTTTTGTATTCCTTCATTTTCATTGCAGATCAAAGGCTAGTAAGTGAAACAAAACTAACCCTTGTGTTTTTATTGCTTCCGGCTAAATTATATGATTGCCTGCTCAAGTGTCCTATGGTTTCCGGGAATTGTATGGTTGTGGTACGAACTGGCTTGCAGATGTGTCTTTTGTTTTTACTGCTCAAACCCTTTTATAAAGGGATCCGTGACGTCTGTGAATGGAATTTCCCAGTAATTAGTACCAATGATTGCTTGTAGTCATGAATTATCTGTCTTATAGGTTCCCATAGTTATTGCATTAATCACCAATGTTCAGAAGCATAATTTGAAAATGGTATACATTTTCCAGATGCTTGATTGCTCCAATACCCTCTTTTACTTCTGTTCATTCATTTAATGTGCTTTCTTCCATGTAACACAATTGTAAAGCTGACTGCCTCCCCCGACTCCCTCACCCACTCCCAAGCTCTGGAGAAAAGTCCCAGCACATAAATAGCGCAACAACAACATGCGTCAACATAGCTTCATAACATAATAGAGTGAAACAAGTGATTTTTTTCAAGTGAAAAACTAAATAATTTGAAAATCTGCAATCCATGAATTTGTTTGCTCAGCATGGATGAGCATAATGATTTGTTAAGGTGTGCTTTTATTGTTTATTTGTAAATATAGTTATCAAACTTTAGTTGTATGGTTACCAGTGTACCATTTTATTCCAGAGACCAGAATGAAGAGTGGAGTGAATGGATAGAAGAATAGGGCTGGACGAAATTGCTCAGGAAGAGAGCCAAGACCATTTAAGAACTTGAAAATCAGGACATGAATCGTACCCTTGATTTGCTGAAATACTGGGAGCTGATGGAGCTTGGCAAGGATAGAGAAATGAATATGTACAGCTCAGAGTAGTGGGGCTTTAGAGTTTTGGAAGAATTTTTAGAGTTTATAGAGGATGGAGGCAAGTGAGGAGAGCTTAGAAAACATGTAAAAAGTATGCAAAATTTGTTTGAGAAGAAAATGTACATGTTAGATGTGTAAACGGGCAATGAAACTGACTAAATAAAGCAATTTATATGTGTATCATTATTCATTCATTAGTTGTAGTTTTACCTACAAAATATACAGTCAATTAACCTTGCAGTATAATCTGTGAAGAGCTTTGAGACGTCTTGAAAACCCTATATCAAATGCAGGAATTATTATTATCTAAGTGGTGTCAGAAATAATATTGAGTGTTCAGGAAAATTAGATTTTCATTAAAAAGGCCTTAATGATAGGAAAAGTACATTGTAAAATAGTGTTACAAGATTATTTAATTCTGTATTTTGTTTTAAAAAAAATAACTAAATTCTAATAAGAAATAAAGTTTTAAACAGAAAGTTATATGACTTGTTGAGATTTGGTGTCTGATGCGATGGGTCACAAGTACAGCCAAAGAGAATTACTTAAGAAATTGTGGCCCTGTAAATGAGGTACTTAGCTTCCAGTTCATTACTGCTGCTGTGGATGTACAGATTTAAAAAAAAGTGTTCTCACTGTTATATTATTGTGGCAATCTTGCCTGTTGGGTTAGCGGAAACTTAACATTGTGTTTTTGATGCACTCTGCCACAGTACAGGAAACGTCAGCTTTGTCAACACTCCCAGTCTTTATTTCAAGTAAGTGAAGCATTTTAGTAAGATATCTTAAAAGCTTGAAAGAAAGAACGGTTTTAACGATTGAATTGGATACATATACAACCACAGAAATGGAATATCAGGACATCTATGTACAAGAATATACTGTTTATCTGAATTATTTACACAATCACCAAGCAATATTTACAACCTTTGCAGATAATCTTACAATAAAGCAAATTAAATTGCAGGTATGTTTGTACTAAATCGCCAGAGAAATGCAAAGAACAGAAGTTGGTGATGCACTCCGAGCTTACAAATGTCACAGTTTCCTTGGTTTACACAGGAGTATGAATGCTGTGATGTTACTGAGAGAGTAACAGTATTGTTTTGACTAGAATACAACAAATTCCATGATGTCAACCCAACTTTTTTAATGAATGAACTTTTTAATGTGATATTCTGTATCATTTTTCTCTGTGGCATTAATTTACAAGAGCACTCGCTTCACAAGCGAGAGGACCTGGATTTGATTCCCGGGCAGGGCGAAATGTTAGGCAAGTTTCCTTACTCCACATGCTTCTGTTTACCTGGTGGTAACTCGGAACTGATTGTTAGTCGATTTGTGGATCGCTTTTCCAGGAGTAATAATTCCTTCAAAAAATGTTTTAAAATAATTTGGTAACTCAATCCATGGCTGCTTGTGGGACACTGCTGTGTGCAATTGGCTGCCATGTTTTGCCCACAAATATACAGTCCATTCACTTCACAGTATATTCTGTGAAGCGCTTTGAGACATCTAGAAGGTGTGAAAAGCGCTATATCAAATGCAAGGATTATGATTATTATTATATTGTGTGACATGCTTTGAGACGTCTCGAAGACGTGATGAGGAACTATATCAAATGCAAGGATTATTATTATACACAAAGATACACCTACTGTTTCTTAACAAAAAGTATCATGAAAATGGTATAGAATCAGGGATGTAAAATATACCACATCTGCATTAAGAAACTATTTGTTTCAAGCTAATCCAAGCGGTGTCTAATGATGGGTAAATTAACAGTATTTAGTACTTAGTACAAGGGAATGAAAGATAATATTAGTAAAAGGGTGAAAAATTCCCAAAGGGAGTTTCACCATTTATAGCTTTTATAGCGGAAAGTTTACTGGGTTTACCATATTTTGCTGAATTGTTCATGGTTTAAGAGTAGCTCAAATCATGCAAACCAGTCATGGATGCTGATTGCTAAAGAAATGTTCTCTACATTTACCATTGCATGCAAATTATTTTTTTACCCAGTGGAAACCTTTGTGAAATATGATTCTTGGATATTTATATAAAGAAAAAAAGTTTGAATCTCTGACTACCTTTCTGCTGTTTTCAGCCCCTGGCTGGCTGTAGTGTTTTTGTTTGTTTTGCCTACTTTGAAAGAAATGGTGAATGAAGGCTTAATGAACTGTGTAGCAGAGTCTGATCAATGGCAATCCTGTCCTGTAAAACTCACTCTTGAAAATAAAATTGACTCCAGTGAGAATAGGAAAATGTCTTGCTCTAACTACACGAGCAGCAACAAGGACAACAGAGATTTATTTTTCAGCGAAAGTTTCACTTTGTCAGAAATCAGAGACGGAACTTTAGGTTAATGAATGAGAAACACGAGTATTGCGAATAAACGAGAAGAGTAACCAAATGTGATGTGTAGTATTTTCCTAAGTGTTACATGCAACAAAGAAAAACAAAAGAGAGAAGGGGGGGCAATCTAACACTGCAGTTTACGGATGCTCCTAGCGATTCTCTTAAACTCTCGCTGCCCTTTCTGCCATCGCTTGACTGAGGTTATGACCAGGTTCCCATCAAGCTTTTGTCCCATCACTAAGTAGGGGGCGTTGATGTCATTCATCTCATCACAGGTACACTGCAGGCCATCCTTCAGCCACAAGGCAGTCTTCCTCAGATCTTTCTCAGTCACTCCATTCAGCTTGTAAATGGTTTTGCTCTTGGTCTCCGGGATGATCTTTGTGTCTCCATTGATGTAGGAGATTTCTTTCACTTTTATCTTCAGGGCTAATTAGGAAAAGGGGTTAAAAGGTGACTTGTTAACACTCAGTGGGGGGAAAGCGGAAAGGGATTTGTTTTTAAACAAAAGGAAAAAAACAGTCACTGATTTCCTAATGAAACTGTCAAGGCGACAAAGCTTGGAAAGATGCAGACAGCAGGTGGCTTCATTTCCAGCACTGGAAACATTAGCATGAATTCCTCCCTCCCTCCCTGCCTCCCTCCCACACAAACGATGAAAAGAGAAAGGGCATTTTCTTGCTCTTTCTTCTTTTTTTACCCAAAGCATAGCTTTTAATCACAACGTGCCAGATTACAGCATAAAGAACCTGGCCAAATTCTTACAGCCTTGTTAGTGGAGGGCTCCAGTGCAGCTGGAAACATTTGGCATGTATTTCATCTCAACTGAATCAATAAAACACAGGCTCCTGCTTGTAAAACAAGCCACTCACACGATGTTCATCCAAGTCCAATGCTGGGTACCAGGCTTACTCATCACCAGCTGCTGAATCGCAGGTGGCTGGCACCTCCCAAGCTGTCCTGTAAAGGTCCTCCCACCACACTGAAGGCAAATGCCTGCCAGGTAGCTGATGAGGAAACTCTGAGGCTTGGGGCTACAGCTGCTGGAAGATGTTACCTGGAGTTGAAGTTCATGAACACAGTTTGTACGTCCAGCGCCTGAAATCCACCTTAATTGGCCTGCAGAGAGGCAAGCTTAAACTCTTAAACTGCTTAAACTCCGCACGTCTAATTGGTGGAACCATTGCTCAATGAACATGTGCTGAAGCTGCACATAGGAAGATGGTGCCAATGCTCTCACGCATTTCATGCTGAGCTGTGTTGCCTACCAAGAAGCTTGCAGGGAGTTCCATCCACCTAGTGAGGGCTCAAAAGCGTGCTTGTTGGATATTAAATAACCAACTAGTGACTATCCGCCTTGGGGTGTGGGGGAGGTAAGCGGGGTCTCCTGAACTAGCTCCAAGGTGACATGTTTGGAAAAACATTGGATGTTAGAATTGAGCCAGCCCTCTGTGGTGGTCTCAGTAGTCTGGTCACTGAGCCAAGCAAGTCCGCAGTACTCCAATGCACTTCTGATGATAGACCAGCCAGCCTGGCTCATCAGCAGAACTTGGAAGGACAGACAAGTCACTGGGGGAAGGGAGTCAACCCACTCAGCTCCTGTTAACGTTACAAGCCAAAGCCCTAATGGGTAGGGTGGTCCTTGCTGACAAGCAGCGGGAAAGCTTGCCAGACAGTATTATCAATGGCAAGCTATGCGGTTTTAGCTGGTTAGACTCCAGAAGTTACCCCAACACGCACTCTGGGGTCCCCAAGCCTGGTTCCTGCTAATCTGCATCTAATACTCTCCAGAATTAGGTCAGCAGGATGTGATCTTCTAGGAAGTAAGTGCGCATTGCATTCCAACAACCTTATCTCTGGGATTTCCATGCGTAGGTGGGATATATGGAAATCTCAGTTTGGTTTGGAAACTCTTAAGCATGGTGATAGATTTCCACATGTGTCTGACACCCAGCTGACCGAAAATTAAATATGATCATTTAACAATCCTCTCTTTTTTTTAACACTGATCTTCAGCGCATCCAAGACTTCAGCTATACCTGACTGCTTAATTCTGATTTCTTTAAATAAAAAAAGACATTAATAAATTGCTGATAGGTTGCTCTCTTGGGAGTTTTGCGTGAAGCTATAGGGTGAATATTCGATTAAATAAAACCGTGGGGGTTCTTTTTAAAGGAACCAGAGCTTAGAGGGAAATCACATGTTCACCCCCCCCACCCCCCTTTAAGACACAGCAAGAGAGCAGACGGCAATAGAGGCTTTCAACTGATGCACAGCATCCAATTAATAGCCAAAGTGCCTTAAATATGGTAAGTCGCTTAAATATTGCCCCTTTCCTTAAGTGCCTTAAGTATAACTTTTAGGAAGAGAGATTGCAGTTTGGAGAACATCCCCACCACTTACCAAAGTCATTTTTGCAGTAACTCTCCACGATCTCGTTGTCGTTTTCCGCATTATCTTTACAAGCCTCGCACACTCTGGGCTCTGAAATCAACACACACAAACACACACAACGCTGCCTGAGATATTTGCAGCACAAGATTACAGCAGCAAAGCAGACTCGACTTTTCACCCAGTCTTAACCTGTAAGCGATCTTGTCTTAAGCGCTCTGAGACGCCGTCCGGCGTGGAGGGCGCTATATAAATCCAAGTTGTTGTTGTTGTTGCCTTAACCTTTTTTTAAGGTCTCGTCCTCAGAATTGTGGAAAATACTCAAATTCAGTCTGAATTTGGAAGGGGGTTTAATCGGAGAAAATCGGTTTCCAAATTAAAAGTGAATGAATTGGCACATTTTAAAAATAGTAATTAAAAAATGTTCCCAAATTCTGTGTCATTTTAAATTATAAGACAAGGAGTGCCTTTGCACAGAATAAGACTTGGTGGAAACGTTTTAGATTTTGTAAATAAAAGAGGTAAACAGTGTCACTCAATAACCTTGGGCTAACCACTTTCTCTCTTGATTTCTCCCTCCCTTACAAGATGTCCCGGAGTATCCTATATATGTGTGTGTGTGTGTGTGTGTGTGTATGTGGAGAACTGAGAGGGGGAAGGAGAGCAGCTCTCTTCGAAACTTGCATGATCTAATCCCCAGTCTGAGGTCCTGAGACATTTGCACCTCGCTGTAAACTGAGCGCACCCCCAACCCCCGGGTTGGAAGAAGAATAAACATTACACGAAAGAAGGGTTGGGGTAGGTAAACAGCAGGAGGGAAGGACTCCTCCTATTCTCTCACAAGTGACCAGATAATCTTTACAGTTAAACAGACTGACTGCTTGATCCGCTGTCTGCACACTCACACTCTCAATCACACCTCAAAAATACTAATACTCTTTTTTTATATTTACTGATGGGCTTTTAAATGCATTGATTTGTTTCCTCTTCAAATAACTTGGCATTGGATATGAGCCATTTTGAAGCTACTACAAATTTACGTTTATAGTTTATTAAGTGTGGATTTTATATACAATATATATCTGTTATAAATCAGCCAAAGCGTTCATTCCCAAGACAGTCTTTTATGTGAAAAGTGCTATGTAAATGCAAGTTGCTGTAATTCTCATTTAGTAGCTGTTTGAAAAGCCTGTGTTTCTAAGGGAGCTGCATCTTGCACATCTGTAATACATTTCAACTTTTTGAAAAAAAAAGACAGCTTTCCAGAAATACAAAGTAAAGTTTTTTTGTGTGGAAAAAAAAAGCAGAGATGAAAATCACCCAAATTATTTCATAGGACAAAAAGATTACCATCCAAGATATTTTGCAATGGGCATTTTTTTTTCTGGAGAGATCTACGATTTCGATAAAGGTGACGAAAGGTTGTTTGGAGAGAAAAAAAACACGTGAAAAAATAATACAACGCAAACATTATTGGCAGGTAGCTTTGCTGTATAACGGGGCATCACTGAAGTATGTTCACCAGTGCTCCTTGTGCTCTGTGATGTACTGTATAACCATTCACCATCTTCTCTGCTGCATATAATGTTTTGCTATATTGCAGGTTAGGGATCTAAGCTTTCAAACACATCAATCTGAACCGAATCCAAAAAAAAATCCCCACCGGTGTTTGCATAAATATAAACGTTGTAACAGCACACAGCTAATTTGACAGTGCAATGCATTTCAGCAGTCCATTGGTGACTCAAACATTTTGCTTAAGTATAGAAATAACTATAACTGGTATACTTTTATAAGCATAAACTATATGTTTGAGTGAGCTTTTAAATTAAAACTATATGTGTATATATATATATCACAGTATATGTTTAAGTGAGCTTTTGTACATAACCAGAGACTACAGTGGAGTCCTGTAGCTCAGTGGTTAGAGCACTCGCTTTGCAAGCAAGAGACCCGAATTCCAGGCAGGGTGAAACCTTGGGTCAGTTTCCTTACTCTACACGCCTAATAATAATCCCTCCAAACACCAAAACAATAATAAATTGGTCATTTTCAATCTACGACTGTTTGTGGGACATTGCTGTGCGCAATTGGCTGCCGCGTTCGCCCACAAATATACAGTCAATTCACTTTACAGTGTGTTCTGTGAAGCGCTTCGGGACGTCCTCCCGACGTGAAAAGCGCTATATTAAATGCAAGGATTATTATTATTATATATATATATATCATCCTATTTGAGCTATATAGTTAAGTGAGCTCTAGACTCCTGGAATACATAATAGTGCACGTTCCCCTCGCAGTCAGCCCGACTAACCTTCCTTGGGCACAGTGAGGTGCTCGTTGGAGTCCGCCGGTGGGATGCACAGGTCGTTATCCTCCGGGAAACGATTGCACTCCAGCATGTCGGGCCAGGGGAAGCCGAAGGCTGACATGACCGGCGAGCAGCTGCCCCTCACCTGCTCGCACAGCGACCGGCACGGCTGGATCGGCTCGTCCAGCTCGTCGATGCAGACGGGGGCGAAGAGGGAGCACAGGAACTTCATGGTGTCGGGGTGGCACTGCTTCTGCACCAGGGGGATCCAGGAGCCGGCCTGCTGCAGCACCTCCTTCATGGTTTCGTGCCCCAGCAGGTTGGGCAGCCGCATCTCGGGGTACTCGATGCCGTGGCACAGCACCAGGGTGGCCGGGATGGGCTTGCAGTTCCTGCGCCTGGAGGAGAACTCGGGCTGACCGTAGGGATACATCCCCCCGACCGCGTCCAGGCAGAGCGCGGCGGCCAGGCACAGGGGCACCAGGCACAGGGGCACCGGGCACAGGGGCACCGGGCACACCCGGGAGGGCATGACTGAGCAGATAGATCAGGCTCGGGATAAACCTGGGATGTTTTACTCCTCTCTCTCTCTCTCTTTTTCTCTCTCTCTTTTTTCTCTCTCTCCTTTTTTCTCTCTCTCACTCTTTTCTCTCTCTCTTTTTCTCTCTCTCTTTCTCTCTTTTTCTGGTTGTTTTTTTTTATTTTGCGATGATGCTTCTTGATTTTTCTTCTCTTTCTCTCTCTCTCTCTCTCTCTCTCCCTCCCCTCCCTCCCTCCTCCTCCTCCTCCTCCTCCTCCTCCACCACCTCTCACCCAGATGTTGTGGCGCTGGACTGGGGGTCTGATGGCAATTCGCACCGTTTCCCCCGATGTTTAAAAGGAAAGGATGGGAGGAGTTCGGAGGGGGGAGAGGGGTCTCTGATAGGATGGTGGGAAGGACGGCGCTGTGGTTCTTGAGAGAGAGACACAGACACACACAGACACACACACACACACAGACAGACGCAGACACACACATACACATACATACACACACACATACACACACACACACACACACATATACACACAGACACACACACACATACACACAGACACACACACACACATAGACACACAGACACAGACACAGGCACACATACAGACACAGGGACACATACACACACATATACACAGACACACACATACACACACACACACATACACACAGACACACACACACACAGACACACACACACAGACACACATACAGACACAGGGACACATACACACACACAGACACAGGGACACATACACACACACATACACAGACACACAGACACACACACACACACTCACAGACGCACATATACACACACACGCACAGACCCCCCCCCCCCCACACACACACACACAGATACACACACACACACACACACACACACAGGGCTTCGAGAAATTATCAATCATCGGGAGTTCTAAGCAGAATCCACACTTCATACAAAGCCACAGAGCCCTGACTGTCGTCTGTCTGTCTGTCTGGTGGTCTGTCCTGCAGTCCCTGTCTGCCTCTGTCTGTCTGTCTGTCTGTCTGTCTGTCTGTGTCTGTCTGTCTGTCTGTCTGTGTGTCTGTCTGTCTGTCAGCGGCTCATCCGCCCCCTGACTCTTTGCACCGGACAACAGCAATTTTGTTTTACACACTGTATAGTGTTGGTAAGAAAGTGCCAATCGCTGCACTTCACCAACTCAACTGCTGTGTCGGTCTGAATTGAACGCCGGGACTTGCAACAGCGCTGCCATCTGTGTTCACTTTTGGTAGTAACGTTAGGCTCCGCTGACTCGCCCAATGGATCCACGTCAAGATCCCCACATTCGTCTCCAAATCCCTTCGAGTCCTGGCACCTCCCTACCTCTCCGACCGCCTTACCCCCCCAACCCGCAACCCGCTGCCTCCGCTCGACTGGCTCCATCCTACTGCTTGTCCCCCGGTACCCGCTGTTCCACCATTGGTGGCCTTGCTTTCAGCCACTTTGCCCAGAAACTTGGGAACTCTCTCCCTCAATCCTTCTAATTATAATAATAATAATAATCCTTGCATTTGATATAGCGCTTTTCACGTCGGGAGGACATCCCAAAGCGCTTCACAGAAGACACTGTAAAGTGAATTGACTGTATATTTGTGGGCGAACGCGGCAGCCAATTGCGCACAGCAATGTCCCACAAACAGTCGTAGATTGAAAATGACCAATTTTTTAATTATTGGTTTTGGTTTTGGAGGGATTATTATTAGGCTCTGTGTGGAGTAAGGAAACTTGCCCAAGGTTTCGCCCTCTGCCTGGAATTGAACTCAGGTCTCTCACTTGCAAAGCGAGTGCTCTAACCACTGAGCTACAGGACTCCACTAATTGCCCCATCCTTCCCCATCTTCAGGTCAGAGTGTGAAGACCTCGCTCTTCGACCGTGCCTACGGTCACCTCCCCCCTCCCCCCGGCTTTTTGTTGACCTCCACCATTTTCATGTGCTCTGGGATGCTACCCTGCCTGAGGGTGCTATATAAGTGCAAATTGTTGTTGTTGTTGTTGTCGAAAACAAAGCAACCATGCATCATTGAATGGAAAACCACGCCTATAACTCACAGCCCATTGGCAACGATCAGAGAGCGACAGAAACCAAATAAAGACATAACATTGTTTAGTAAACAAAAGCTCATTCCGTTACATTAAACGTTGAAATAACCTCCTGAGTTTTATCCGGAGTTTGCAATTATATTTGTTTCCTTGATAAGGATTGATTTAATATGCACATTTGTTCAACTTTTAATGCACAGCTATAGTTGGTTTGTAAGTGTATGTGGTAAAATTCACCTTGAAATCCCTCCACTGGTTTAGTTTGTTGAGTTAACGGAAGCTGAGTGAGAAGAATCCCTGCTCTAGCATTTCAAGGTATTACGTGAACAACAAATTACATTGCTGGAAGGTCAAGGATGTGCACTTGAGCTGGGGTGGAGGGGAGGGAGGGGAGGAGTAGAAAGGTGACCGAAGGTATGGTTGAAGAGGAGGGGAGTGTGGGATGGAGTTCCAAATGTAAATGGCACTATAGCACTATATAAATGCAAGTTGTTATTGTTGATCTGTTCTTCTAAGTCTTGCTGATGAGCAGGCTGACAAGTCTGTCATTAACAGTATCTTGGATTACTGCAGACCTGCCTGGCTCAAGAACCAGAATACCTAGACCAAATGGGTTCCCATATTCCATTGATAACTATGTCACCTTGGAGCCAGCTCAGCCTACCTCCTTACCAATATCCTGGTTGGATATTAGACATATATCAAGTGCAGGTTTGAGCCTGGACTTAGTGTTTCCTAGGTCAAGGAGGAAACAAAGAGAGACCAGTCAAAGTTAACAATGATTGCTATGATATATGGTGGTACTGTAGAATGATGATGGTGTGTTTATGTTGGATGCAGCCAACATCCAGCTTGGTTATGATACGCTTATTGTGAAATAGCAATTTTGTTTGGGTCAGCCAGGTGTCTGACAAACGCTGAAACCTATCCACATGCTTAAGAGTATCCAAACCAAACTGAGAATTCCATGCATCCCATTTACAGATGGAAATCCCAGAGATAGATTGTTGGAATGGAATGCGCACTCTCTCCCTGGAGGGATGCTTCCTGCTCTCCTAATTTTAGCAAGTATTAGGTTCAGGTTGGCAAGAGCCAAGGCTTGGGAACTCCAGAGTGTGCGTTGGGGAATTGCTGGAATCTAACCAGCTAAAACTGGTTGAAATTGCTGTGTGGCAAGCTTTCCCACTGCTTGTCCAGCTAGAACCACCATACCCATGATGGCTTTAGCTTGCATGGTCAATAGGAGCTGAGTGTGATGACTCCCTGCCCCAGTAACTGGTCTGTCTTTCCAGTTCCTGCCAATGAGTCAGGCTGGCGGTGCTGTCATCAGCAATAACCAGGAGTAATGCCGACCCATCAAACAGTTACTGGAACTTAGATTCCTGCATGTACAGCACAGCCACGTGTTTCTTACCATAGACAACTACTCTCAGGAGAGAGAGTGGGATAATTGGGTAAGGGTAGGTAGCTAATTGGAAAAATACATGGTTAAAACTACAAATTGTTTGAGAGAAAAGAGAGGCAGTTTTTCCTCATTGATGTGCACTGAATGAATAGGTTCCCTTAGGTTTGAGCAAGTGGAGGGAGCAATTTGGAAGGAATCCGATGGGAAAGGTGGACACAGTTATTTAGTCAGTTAGTTAGTTAGTTGGGCAAGGTGAAGGAAAGCACTGACAGATGGGCACAATCTTATTTTAGAGAAATCCAGGCCAAAACGTTCTGGGAAATTGATTTAATATTTGTAAAAAGAAATGGTTATTCAACCCGAACTCCATTTATTCTTGTTTGAAAAAGCCACCATTTCTTGAAAAGTCCCACCACCCCACCTCACCAAAAGCGACTGTTAAATTGAAAGGGATTAATTTGCTCTGCAGCCTGTTACAATAAATAGCATGTTGTGAAGCAGAAATAAAGGGATAAACTGTATCTGCTGGAAATCTGAATTCAGAGCTGAAACATTAGCTACGCAATATTGATGCAGCAGTTATGTTAAGAGGTAACAATTTAAAGTGGTGCTGGGAATGGGGCGATGCAGAGTCTTAGATCACAGTGTACCTATTCCTGGTCTCTAAAGTTCTTCAGGGAATGTCGTCTGCAGATATGCAAGCTAAGTGCATCCTACCTTACCTAGCATCCTCTACCGGTTTACTTTTTTAAAAGTTGTTTTAAAAAGCTAGGAATACGGCCAGCCCTCTAGGAATGATGAAACGTTAAGGGTTTTCCAATTGACTGCTCAGCAACTTATAAACTTACATTTTGTTTAGTTTAAAAATTGGCGTAGAGTTGGCTGCAGTTGGACTGCAGTTCCACTACAGCATATGCGAAGCCAATTGATTTGAAACTCCCTCCCCAAGAACCATGCTTCCCTGTATTGAGCGTGTGGCTCCCAAATTGAAGTTATACAGTACAGTATTACAGAGTACAGTATTACAGAGTGTTCAGGGGTTGAGGCAGAAGCCAAATTGAATTGGAACAAGCTCAATGATACCACTAGTTCAAAAATGATCTAACATCAGCTCAGGTGATTTCCTGCGTAACGTTTGGTGGAAATTCCATTTGGATAGAGATTTCCACAAATTTCTTTATTTGTATGGTTATTTCAATTTTCACAATTTGCCCAGAAAATATACAGACAATTTACTTTACAGTATATTCTGTGAAGCGCTTTGAGAGGTCTCAACGGCGTGATAAGACATTATATCAAATGCAACGATTATTATTATTATTTACTCTAAATTTCATAGCATTTAAGAGCGTCCAGAATTTGACAAATTCTTAAATACAGCCAGAATTTTGAAATCTTTTAAGAACTGATTCTAAGGAACGCACTCCCAACAATGCAGCACACTCCCAGCATTGAACCAGAATATCAGTCA